CATTTACGACCAATCCAACGAAATTTAGCCACAATTTCTTCTTGCATTAAATCAAAACACATAGCTAATATTGCCATACCAAAAAGTACGTAGATTGCACCAATAATAAGTTTAAAAGCTGGATCATCGGCTCCTTGACCAGGTACCTATGATATTATTTATGTTTTTTATTTTAATCAAAAAAAAACGACAAAAATAAATATAAGAATTTCTATTACTTACAAAATCACCGAATCCAATTGTTGCTAAAAAATAAAAAGAAATAAGAATTTTTTTCTAATACATTTTAAATGATATTTACCTAACGTAATAAAACAAAAATATCCAGCTTGTGTCGAAGTCCATTGTTCAAAACTATGAAACATCATTGAACCAAACCATATATATGCAGCAATAATTAACATAGTTACTGTTAATGGTACAGTCACTCGTGGTTCTTCTATTTCTTCATCTTCATCAACATTTGCTTGATTAGCAAGTGTATTTGTTCGTTTTTTTAATGAGTTATCATCTTGTGCTGCCCAACCATTACCATCAGTTTGATTATTACTTACACCTCTTTCTTCTGCAAGTTTAGCTTTACGTGCTAATTCTCGATGTTCTTTTATCCTATGACATGGTCCACAACATATTCTTCCATAAATAAAACGAAACATTTCGCCAAGTACACCGCTTATATTTGCAATACATAAAAGAAATATTGGAATACCTTAACAAGAGAAAAAACAATTTAAAGGAATTTTCTTTTCCTGATATTTTTCATACCAATTGTTGCATAACATATGCAACATATTTGACCTTCCCCTATAATGATATTTCATATTTTTTTTGTCAAAAATAAAACAAAGATTTTTCTTACATGTCACGGGACTAAAATAAAGCAAAAAGAAAAAAAATTGAATCATAAAATATGTATATTTATTCTTACGTTATATTTCCATAACCAATTGTTGTAATAATTGTTATAGCAAAAAGTAAAGCATTTGCATACGTCCATTTAGGACTTGAACAACTGCCTCCATAATAACGATAGTTTGAACCAATATCAAGAACAAAATCTCGATAACCATATAACATTGTAGCTATTTTATCATAGGCAACTGATTGATTATCTCTTTCAATAACATATGTTAATGTTGGTGATGTTGATGGTGATGGTGGTGCTGCTGGTGTTGTTGTTGTATTATATTGTATATAAGTAACAATTTTTTGTTTAAGTTTAGTTAATTGAACTCTAAGTTCACCTTCAGCTTCTTGACAATTTAATTTTTCTTGATGTGCTTCAAGTAATTCAAATAGAAATCCGCCAGCAGCAGCATAAACAACAACAAGACCAACAAGACCAACATGTGAAAATAGAAATTTCCCTATTTTTTTTAAAAATAGCCGAGTTTTTGATGTTTGAACTTCGTCCAGTTCACCATCATTTGCATTATTTGAACGAGTATTATTATTACCACGAGGCGTCGAAATATCATTTCGATAAATACCATCATAAGCCATAGATACATCTTGTTGTGGCAGCATTTTTAGTTTTATTTTTCAATCTACGCACATACACAAATAACAAAAAAAGAAAAAAATAATCTTATAAATTCATACTTAAAAAGAAAAAATAATAATTTTAAGTATTATTAGTTTTCTCTTCTTTTACTGTAGTTTTCTTTCTTCTATCTACCTATACACAATATATGTCGATCTCATTCGGTAAATGTTGTCTAAATTTTTTCTTCTGCGCCTTTCTCTCTCTCTCTCTCTCTTTCTCGTTTTTCGGCTACATTAGTTAGTTAGTTTGTGTGAAGGGAGAAAAAAATTGATTTGGATAGAAATATAGCAGAGAAAAAAAGGCAAAAGGAGTTATTGTCTCTCGATAAGAGACCTGTCGTTTTCTTATTTTTTGCACTTTCTTTTCTATATCGTATTCATTTAAATATATATATATACAAATGTTTACTGTCAGCTACTTCCGATGACGACGACACGTAACATAACCCGAACGGTGTATTATATATAATCAAGAAAAAGATCATAAATATTTTAGTTGGTTTACTCAATTCTATATGGAATAATAGAAAAAGAAAGGATATTAACAAGTAACTAAATTAAATACAAATATACATTGTTGTTTTCTTCTTCGTCGTCTGAAAAATAAACTGAGCTATTTAGATGTGGAAATTTAATTCTATCATTGAGATAAATTTAAGTTTAATAATACGTTTGTTGGTTGAATATTATTTTTCTACTGGAAAAATATAGCGTTACAATACAAATAGGAAAAAGTAATTTTCTAATGAGACATTCTTGGTATATGATTATATCAATTTTTATAATTAGAAAGCATATGATTGTTTTCTCATTTTCTAACAAAAACATTTCTATTTAATAAAAAAAATAAAATTTCATTTTACAATCCGATGTCTTTTTTCTCATATAGAAACAAAGTCAGATATATGATCTTGGAATCAATGCAATACAAAAAAGTTATTCAAAATATCACAATTATACAATATAAAACTAATTTTTTTATTCTTTTCAAAGATTAATAATAAATATGAACCGTCTACGAGCGACATACTTCATATATATTTTTATTGATTTGCCGTCCTTATTCTACCTAATAAAAAAAAGAAAGAATATTGTACTAAATTTGATTATTTATCCACTAAATGTTAATATTGCAATTGTTTTATGTGTATGTCATATATTAGAGATTATCGTCAAAAAATCTATATCATTATAGCCTTGATATGTGTTTTTATCTATTTTAAACTTTATTCAAAAAGTGACAACGAGAAAAGAAAACAATTATTATCATCAGGTTCGATGTAATCTCTTAGCATATGTGTTTTATATATTTACCTTTTTTTTCTATTCTTATTACATCAGTTATAAGATAAAACAAAAGAAAAGAAAAGAAAAGACAAATCGTATATTATTAAGAAACGAAAAATATTTTTATTCATTCATCTTTTTTTTTTGTAGAATCCAGCATGCATAATGGTCATGATCATGCCGCTATGATTAGTACTACAACACCATCAATGAGCCATGATCATCATGCAATGGGTCATGCATCTGAGACAAGCACAAATTTGAGTGGACATGGTCTTCATATGAAAGATATGATGATGATGGCAGTGAGTAGATTATATATTTTTTTAAATAGTTAATCATAGATTGAAGTTTGATATGAGCTAGTTTATATTCTTATCATTTGATGACCACGTATGGAAAAGAGGTTTTATATCTATTCTAAATGTAAAGATTGCTTGTATATGATTACAATGCATAAATAAAATAAAGAAACTTTTGATTAATGACTATTTAAAAAATTGATTGATAGAATTCTGAAGTGATTTGACTTTTTTAATGTTTGGATATTACAGATTTATTGCAACTATAACAATTTCTAAATATGGATTTATAATTATCCGCACTGATATTATTAAATAGTCTAAACTATTCACTCATTGTAATATATATCTATAATAGTTCTTATTTTTTTTTTATTAAAAGATGACATTTCACGGTGGTTATAAAGAACAAATTTTATTCGATCAATGGGATACGAAAACGCTTGGAGGTAAATAGGTTTATGAAACTCATTCATAAAAATCTATCTCTTGTTTCTTTTTTGAAGCATTTATTGGTTCTTGGTTTGTAGTATTCTTTATTGCTGTTTTATATGAGGCATTAAAAGCATTACGAGATTATTTATCAAAAGGTGATGGTTGCGATGTATGCTCTCAAACGCAAGATCGTCAACAACCAAAGTGAGTTCATTTGGTTGATTTATTTCTATATAAATATAAAGATCTTGAGAGCACTAAGTCTTGATTCATACACTACTTAGTCTTATAATCAAAACGATTCTTACTATTAACTTATTGTGATATTAGTAACTCTTTCTATGAATTTCAGTATTCACTTTGACATATAATGTCGAGACTGATTATGCAAATAAAGCGAACACTTTTCTAATAATACAAGTAAAGACATTATCAATAAACAGTATCTCATAGATCTACAGTCATGATAAAAATAACTATTGATTTTATTAAATAATTTAATATTATTTTCATTTAGAGCTCGTCTATTAAGACTTCCACATATAATTCAAACATTTTTACATATTCTTCAAATGACTGTTAGTTATGGATTGATGCTTATCGCTATGACATATAATACTTATTTATTTTTTGCGGTGATACTTGGTGCTGGTTTTGGTCACTTTTTATTTGCTTGGCGTCGTTCATCTGTTATTGATTATAATGAACATTGCCATTAATATTAAAAAAAAACAATACGATTTTTTTTTCTTAAGTTTGTAATTAATTGCTGTTGTTATCATTTTTTCTTGATTAGAACATTCCTTTTATGAAGTATTGCCAAACGATTGAAAGGGATGACTGTTTTTTTTTCTATAAAATTTGTTACTTTGATTGATAGAGATGAATTATTTTTGATTAGAATGTATAGACATCTTTGTTTCATATTTTATATATAAAGTTTTTGTCAATATAGCTCAAAACTTTTTTTGCATTTTTATAAAAATTCGTTGTATGATGAATCAAAAAGATATTTTAGGGAATAATTTATATTACTCACAATACGATTTAAGTTCTTTTGAATAATTCTTTGTGTACGGAAAGTTCAAAAAAACAACTTTTCTCTGGTTATGAGATTATTTCTGCTTATATAATCAAGCAGATTTATGTATATTAATATTAAAATAAACTTATTCAAGCAAAAGACCCGTTGTCTTGAGATATTATTACTCTTTGATATATTATAGAAAATGCAATATAGTGAAAATAATTAGATTTTCTTTTTTATCATAAATATAAACAAATAATTTACGATAATTTTGTTCTTTTCACAACACATATTATGGTAATTTTATCCAATTAAAAGCTATTGTAAAAGGAAGAATTTTTCTAAAATTTTCAAACATCGGAAAAAATAAAGGTAATAATAAGATTATTAGTACACATCGAATATTTAATATAGTCTATGATCTTATAAAGATTATCTTTGAAAACTGATATATTCAATTTTCTAGTAATTGAATGGATAAATACTTCTATAGAATTACCAAAAGTCTGGATTTTCATAGAATCAAATTTTTTCTATGAAAAGATAAATTATATATGAAATAGGATTCTTAAATTCTAATAATAAAGAACTTATAAATAGTTTTTGTATCCAAGTAGAAAAGTTCTTTTTTTGTCTTTCATATATCAATAATATCCAGAAAAAAACCAAAAATGAAAAGAAAAATATTTTTTCAATTAATCATAGACTATATGTTTTCTTTCGTGCTTGAAGGAATAATATATAAAACTCCGAACATAGATAGCAGAACATGATGACAATACATTTAAACAAACGAAGAAGAAGAAGAAGAAGAAAAAAACAAAATCACGAATATACACAATTGTTTCTAGTGAATAATCATAAATATTTTGTTCGTATAGATTTTATTTTCTGTTTTTTGAAAAAAAATAGAACTAAGAAAAAGAAAATGTATTTTATAAAGTCAATTATTTCTTTTGAACCTAAATAAAAAGAAAAGAAACATTCAAAATATAAATAAAATCTTTTTTATTCAATTTTAAACTATACCGGTAAATATAATTTGAATTCCGGTGGTAATTCATCTTCTGAATAAAGTCGATCCGAGAAGTAAACACGTCGAATACGACAATTAGCATGTATCTAAAAGAAAAATATCATGAGTTTTTTTCCTTTGAAAACAAAATTGATTTCCACATACTTGAACTCGAAGTGTTTCAATATAATTTGTACCATAAGCACGTCTCGTAAAATCCGATAGATTAAATTGAATTTGATTCCATCCATCATCCAAACGCATTGGCATTGTACATATAAATGGTTTTACACGTGTAGTTGATTGATAATTACTCGCTCGAAATCGACGACGAACATTTCGATCATCAAGTACCTTATTAATATTACGTATTTAAGAAATCAAATATCATATTTTCTTATCTTTCTTACTTGTACTTCAAATGTAAAATATTTTTTTAAGTTTTTTATAATCATAACAAGAAATGGTAGTTTAATGCCAAGAGTTTTTTTTGGATCAGCTGGACATGTTATATATGTTGTACTAACATTTGTACCAACAATTTCCAAGACAAGTGATTGAATTTCATTATCTGTTATTCTTTTGATATGTCCATTACGTACCTAAGATAGATTAAATACAAAAATATGTTTAATAAAACAAAAATTACAAAATTTTCAAACCTTTTTATCCCAAATCTGTAATGGTTTACTACCAATACTGTATAATATTGAAAGAAAACCACTTTGAAATGTATTTTTGAACATATCTCAAAAAGAATAAATGTATAATGTGGAGAAAATGAGAGAGAGAGTTTGTAGCAAGCAAGGTCGTCATAGGTACCTCAATCACTTGGAAACACTATATTGATCAACGACAACGACAACAACGACTATTTATTTCTCCTTTTTCTTCTTCTTTATAAACATGGCTGATTGATACCTAGTAACCGACCCTGATGAATGGTCAAAATATTATTGAAAATTTTTTCAAAGAAATTTTTTATTTAATCACATAGATTTAGATAAGAAGATTCTTAATATTTAAGAAATCATTATTTTTCTTTTGACAAGATAGAGGGCGTACTGAAACGTATGTTGTCAATTTTGATTAAAAATATTGTTCACTTTAAAGAGTTTTTCACGCCCTGCAGCAGGTAGTCAAGTCGTATTTTCTGAGAATTTTGAGTGATGCATACTTAAAGCCTTTGGATATTTTCATGGTCTAAGACACGTAAGGGATGTCTAGTCATTCGAAAATAGACGAATGAATAATTAAAACTAACTGCTGAGCTAAATCAGGATTATACCGAACAACGATCTAAAGAAATCATTGCTATGTCTTTAGGGTGATCTTTTCTTTCCCATAAAAAAAACAATTTTATAAATATTTATTTATTTATTGGAAAAAAATGCCTTATAGATATCAAAAGAAAAAAGAAATGAAAGTATGATTGGCAGATTGTTCATTGAAAAAATATTGATACACTACATCACAATATTATTTCAGGTTAACATCCATGTTGGTGTAAATGATGTAAAATTCCATTTATCTGGATGACCAATATGCGATACTGTTTTATCGAAATCTGATTCACTCCAAACAAATGGTGGTTGTTGATCAGATGTTGGACCAGCAATAGCAACAAGTGTAAAATTTTGCATCATTGCATAATTCATAATCTATGAAAAGAAAAAGTATTATATATATGTTCACTTAAAATAAGCCTTTATAGGAAGAAGAAGAATTTTTGATTAGCAAATGTAGATGATGTCATCTGTAATATATGTCTTGAAAAGCTATCAAAGAACTCAGACAAAAACACTTTACAATCAACAGTGTCGTCGTTTATCTTAATAAAAAAAGAAACTCGGCTAGGATAGAAGATGCATAAGATTTTAAAATGGATAATCATATACTTTGAGGACGAATGTGAGTTAACCTAGTACATCATTGACTAAAGGAAATAGTCTCAAGTCATCATCAATATTATTTAAAACGTTCATGAAGTCACTAAATATATCATTTGACACAAATCAGCATCCTATGTAATACATATTGTTGATTTTCAATGTCTTCTTAGAAGGACACTAGAATCTTTATACTGACGTACATAAATAAGAATCTACTAACAGCATGTCATAACTTATAAATTAAAAAAATTCATCATAAAATCTTCTTTATCATAATTAAAGTTTGTTTACTGAAACAGATACATTTTTAATTGTGTCATTTATTTGTTTTCTTCGACTAAATATAAATTCTTACCTTAGCATCTGTTGCACCATGTACACGATGTCCTAATGGTGAATCAGGATATGTTCCATTAGCTGGATTAAGATCACATCGTGCAGCAATAGTTAATTCTGCTGAATATGGTGGATCACATTTACATTTAGACAAAGCATCATTTTTAAAATCATTATATCTAAAATTTTAAAATAAGATAAATTTTTGTTGAAAATAGATAATTACCTCATCATTTTAATCATTGATGGTAAGTCAACAACTTTATCTTGATCACGTGCAAATATTCTAGCACGTGAAGAATTAGCCCATGAATATAATTCAGGTCCCATTTTTTGAACCATTGCTTCTTCACCTGATAAATCACGAAAATCTGGAAAGTAAACATTATTATACGATGCCCAATAACCATCTTGATTTAATTTTCCAGTCATATCAGTATATTCAAAATTATTAACTAATTGTTCAGCAACCATTAAGAATCTATTAAAAACAGATAAATATTTTCTATATAAATTTGAATATTACCCAGCTTTTGGTAATTGTCCTGGTGTAAATTGTTTAAAATCACTAATCATCCATTGATTATTATAAGTTCCATCATTAAAAATAAAAAATTTATCAATCCATTCTTGACCGGAATTAGCTAAACGATTCGCAGTTACAACACGAATCCATTCAGGTACAGATATTGGAATAATATTATGTAATAAATTATTATTATAATTAACAATTGTTGTTTCAATTACTGTTAATTTTCCAGGACGTGTCATATAGAAATCATCTTGAAAAAAATAGATAGAAATTTCTTATTTATATGAATATATAAAATAACATACCAACTGAATGAAGTGTTCCGGGATAAGATGAAAAAATAATATCAGCACCTGGAATAATTTCACCTAGAAAAAATCATATAACGTGATATGACATCGAAATTTCTTATATATCTTACTTCCGGCAGCTGTTGATCGTTTTAATGGCATTATATAACGTTTAATTACTTTTAACATTGTTCGATAATTACTCCAATCAGCATGAGATACAAATATATCTGTATTATTGGGTAAAATCTAAATAAAATAATCTTTTTTTTCGTATTAAATATAATTTTATTTTAATTTTACTTTAATCAATGCTGAACAACTATCATGTCGTTCAACATTTGGTACACCTAAACGTGCAGCTAGATCACCAATAGATTCAACTACTTGAAATAGACTAAAATTGAAGAGGAAAGAACAAAAACAAATAGTTTATTAAAGATAACCAATTTATTTACAAGAATCCAAGTGGATCATCAAGTCTATGTCTTGGTTCACGTGGTGTATTTTGATTTCCATCAATAAGACCATTTAATTGAATAAGAAGTAAATCGACCTAAATAAAAACAAACATCTACAAAGAAAGAAATTGATCTTTCTTCAAATACTTGATGCCAATATTCATCATCGGGATAAGTTTCAATTTGTGTATATAACCAATCAAGTTGTATTTCAAAAAATTGTTTAAGATAATTACAAAATTTGGCTTGATTAACACAAACATCACTTATACTATTTTGCCATTGCCAACCAGTCATTTCTAGACAAGACAAAAAAAATGATATTGTTTATATTTAATCTCGAAAAAATTCAAGTCCAAACCTCGTGTAAATTGTCCTTCAAGTAATCCAGCTGAATAAGCTTGATCAAAATTTGTTTGATTAGGTGAAGTTTTAATTTCTAATACTGACCAACCAGTAGTATTATATGTCTGATCCCAAAATCCAGTTGCTAATACATTATTTACATTTGTATCAGGTTCTTTATAAGCATTTGCTAATGCTGTAGTTATTTCATATTTTCCATTATTTTTCAAAATATGACCACGATATCGATGAAGTGATGGGTCATCATTTGCCAACGTTAATTTTAACGTTATAAGTGCAACAAACGTGAAATATTGTGCAAACATTGTTATCTAAAATAAAAGACAATGATTCGAATGGTAGCCGTTGATACATATATATATAGTTGTTTAGTTAGTCGAAAGATAAGAAAAGAAGAGAAGATAAATTTGTTGGACTTTAAAAAATTACATTGGATATTTAAGAACAAATGAAAAATAGCTTATAATCATATTAATCACTTTTAATAATACAATAGATTTTAAGCTTCAAAAGAAAAACAAATGCAACATTTGTTATTTATTATTGTTGTATCAGCTGTAGTTCTACAAAATTTTATAATAAAATAAATTTAGAATATTTCATTTTTAATGAATCTTTTTCTCGTTTATTACTTGTCTTCATTGAACATCAATTAATTATCTTCTCAAGTACCATTCTAAATAGCCTTCATTACTTGTCAAAATATCAAGAACTTAAAGTCGGAAATGTTATTAGTTCGATTTTAATTATAGAAAAATGTCTATTCAAAATCTTTTTGTTTTTATTTGTTGACAAAAACGTCTTTATCATCACCGATCCATCGAAAGAATAAAAGAGGACAAATAATAAGCCAAAACAAAAAAAAATTCGGAGGGAAGGGGTATGAGCAACAACAACAAACATGTATTGATCAATTAACTGAAAGCAAACAAATAAAATGACACATCGTTTTTTTTCCTATATATATATATATATAATTATATTGTCTTTTGTCAAAGAGAAAAAAAATTCAAATTGAATAAATACAATCTCACCCTTAAATCAAAAAGTAAATTTCACAAAAAAGAAAAAACAATAAAATCCGTAGTGTCAAACAATAGGCACACAAGATATTGAGGTTTAGGACTTTGACAACATAAAAAGGAATGAAATATTCCAAATATGAGGGTATACAAGATATAAATTTTGATAACTCGTGAACAGAAATAAAAAACAAGTCATCACATACTCTCAAAGAAACTATGATAAATAGATAAATGAGCATCAACAACAGCTAGAATAGACTCTCTCTTTTTTTTTGTTTTATTTTTGCTTTTTATATTTTATAATAATGTACTTGAATATGATGATTTTATTGCTGCTGCAACTGGCATACCGGAACGATGAAAATGAACACATTGCCAACGAGTATCTTTCTTATGCCATACACGAGTTTCTTCAGTTCGAACACTTTGTGCTTGTCCATGACTAAATAGAAAAAAATATTATTTTTCCAAAACATTACAAATTCATTTTTTTTACCGATCAATATATTGAAGAAGTAAAACATAAGCTATACAAGCTGATTCATCTCCTAATGTATGTACAACTGGTGTTAACATTGTACAATTGATTGTTGGTTTACTTGCTTTAGCCGATAATACTAAATAGAAGAAAAGTAAAATTAAAAATATTATACAAAATATTCGAATAAAACAAGGATAAGGTTTCATTAAAACAAATTCACAACAACACACATATACAGATAAATTACCTGTATCAGAACGAGCAAATCTTCCTGAAAATAATTCGGGTAAATCATGATATCACAAAAGACAAATGGACAAAAGGTAGGTGAGGGTTTCTATCGGTATTTTGTTATATTAATTATTTTTTACATACCTGTATCAAAATAAAATTTATGAAAATCAAGACCTTCAACAAGATTTCCTATAGTTTCAGGTTCAAAACAAGTTATTTTTGGATCGCATAGTGACCTAAATTCAAATTTTGATTAAGAAAAAACAAAAATATTTTCTACACTTACTTATACATTTCATAATCACTATTTGCAATAGCTTGTAATAATTGTTCTGTTACTTTTGTTATTTCTAAAGCTAATTAAGAACAAAAACAAAAGGATATGAGTTAAATTCATGTAACATATTATCCTATGTGATTTACGATTATAAATTAATTTCTTTAACCCAGTGTTATAAATAGAGAAGTTAAGAAGTGATAATAGGCGTGTGATAAGAATAATATAGCATCTCAGCTTTTATTATATTTGTGCTTACTTAGATTTTTTCCTACTTTTATAACGGGTGGTGTTGTCTTTTTAGCAACTATGAATCGATGTGTTTATTTCGTATAAACAAGGCAATAAACAAATTTATGAATATTCCACTTACTTAATCGATCAGTTCGTTCAATATCAATAGGATCGTCAATAGTTGCACTATTACTATCTGCTGATTCTTTGATAGCACTACTACCGCCACTTTGAGTTGCTGGTCGAGAACGACTACCTTTAAAAGAAAACAAAAGATTTTTTAGAAAAATAATGTATCAAATAAATTCCTATATATATCACTCTCAAACTTTGATTTCAAGCAAGAAAGGTGAGCACGCTTAAATGTATGGAAAATGTATATAAAACATAACAAAAGAAAAACAAAAGTTTGATAACAGTGTCAGAAAGTTCTACCTACAATTACAACAAATGCGAGCAATTGTGAAGAAGAAATACATTCAAATATAAATATATATATATATAATAGACACGCGCGTACCTCCACTAGAAGAAGCTGATATAATCGGATTTGTAACTGGTGAAATGATTCCTGCAATAGTTGATGGTTTTTTACCATTTGTTGGTGGTTGTGTATTACCACCACTTCCTGTTGCAATTGTTCCTGCATCTAAAAATCGATCCATTCATTTTCCAGCGATATTTATTTATTTTTTCTTTTTTGTCCATATAAACGCATGCCATTTATTTGTTTTCGCACAAAACGAATACGCGCACATATTCAAATCACAAGGTAAAGGGATTAAAATAAAACATATCTAAGGTTCGAGCATGATTAATAAAATGACAAACATACAATAATAAACATACAGGGCCAAAAAAAAGATATATAAATGAGAATAAGCAAGATGTATTTCATGCAACAGGGAGGGAATAAAACATAAAAAGATATATATATTTATATATAATTTCCTCAGTTATTAAAAGAAGAAGAAGCTCATTATTTAGTTTGAGAAAAAAAATATTTTTTTTAAAAGGAAAGTAAAAGACTGTCAATTTTAGGAATTAATTAATGTCATAATGTATTCTTTGGAGATAAATGTGTTTAGATTTCAATTTGAGCTCGCATCTGCTTCTAAATAAAGTACAGAGATATTTAACGAGAAAAGAAAAAACAAATTAACAAAAATAAGACATTATGTTAAACTATTGCGAAGTTATGTAAAAAAAAGAACATTAAATATGCATGTAATTCGCATTTTGAATTAAAAAAAAATAAAAATATATAACATATAACAACAAGATTCAAAGCATTTTAAGAACAGGCAGGTATATGAATCATACATGCAAAGATATCATGCATTCATTATGAACTTACTAGGTATCAATGTACGATTGACAAACATTGTTGATAAAATGGCTCCCTTTAAATAAAAATTAATTGTTTTGAAAAGAATTTTGTAAATAGCTTACAATGATACAAGTTAAACAAAATAGAGCGAAAAACATGGCAAGTTACTCGAAAAAAAGTAGGTAAATTATGAGTTACAATGTTTTTTACTTGTTCTTTCTTTATTAGTGGACACGTTTAGAATGATATATCAAGGTTATTTACCTTTAATTTTCGTCGTGCATTAAATTTACGTAAGCAGTCGACGGTTTCTTGCCGATGAATTGTACCAGCAACGCGTTCTCGTTGCTAAAAAATAGAAATATATAGAAAATTTTTGAGTTTATTTGATGCTTTTCTGTTGTTTCTCTCGGATGTTTTAATCGAATCAAGTATAAGAATGCTTGAATCTTCTTTTTTTTCTTCTCCTTCTTCTCCTTTTTTGTCCCTTCTAGAAATAATGACTCTGATTTATTTTCCTTGTTTTCTTCCTTTTCTCTTCCTATAGTAAAAAACAGAATAGGAGGAAAAAAAGGGAAAATGAGGCGCACCATTGCATTCTATTCTAACACTTTTGTCTTCTTATGCTATAAAATAATCGTTTCGACTAACATCCTCACATCATCAAACATTTTTTTTCTCTTTATTCCCTAACTCATTCTCATTTATTGAGCAAATAAAATCGATAAATAGGCCATAAATAAATATCCGTATTAAAGGAAATATGACAAATCGTCCGAATGATTTTTCTATTTAACCAACTTACACAAATCCATGGATGTTTGAGAGCATCTGTAGCACTAATACGTCTACTAGGATTAATATTTAACATTGAATCAATTAAACGTTTCGCTTCAGTCGTGACTGTATCCCATTCAGGTGATGGATACTAAATAATATACATATATTCAATTAAAAAGATATTTATCGAAATTTATTTTATCTAATATTTACATCATAAGCGCCAGCTTTTATTTGATTATATAAACGATGTTGATCTTCATCCCAAAATGGTGGATAACCAACAAGAAGAATGTATAGAATAACACCTACGATATAGTAAAAAATAATAAATTTTCATATTTTTAATATATATATATAAAATCATACCGCATGCCCATATATCAACTGGTTTTCCATAGGGTTCTTTTTTAAGAACTTCAGGACTAAGATAACCTGGGGTTCCAGCAAAGCCTATGCATTAATTTAATCAAACGATTATGTATAATCAATCAAATATTGTTTTATTATACATACCATACCACTGTGTTTGTTCACCATTGACTTCAATAGCCAAACCAAAGTCAGCAAGTTCTTAAAAAAGAAAAACAAGTATATTTCCAGATCAAGTTACTTTTCGCATTGGAAATAAAAGAAAGAAAAAAAAGGTTCCGTTCATTTCCTGTTACGGAAATAATCTACATCAGTTTTCCTCTTATTAAATGAGAGGAAAACTGATGACCTTCAAAAATCTTGAAATGAAGTTTTCTTCTTCTTCTTCTTTTTTTTCTTTTGACATTAATACTTACTGACAGCTGCTCCTTTTGTTTTACTAGCCAATAAAAGATTTTCAGGCTACAACAAATAACGAAAACATAGACTAAAATAAAAAAAACGAATTGTTTTCTGTCTTACTTTTAAATCTCTATGTACAATATTACTTTCATGACAATGTCGGACAGCTTCAAGTATTTGTTGAATACAATGACTAAAAATAATAAATAATAAAAATTATTCATTAGATCAATAAATTCATACCTAGCATCTGCTTCACTATAAAATTCTCGTGCAACAATATCTTCAAATAATTCACCACCGGTGACTCTAAAATAATTAAAAATTATCATTAGTATTATGAATTTTTTTAATATTATAATAAAAACTTACAAATCGAATACTAAGTAATGAAAACCTTCTTCCGAAATACTTTCATGAAGACGAACTAAATCAATAATATGTAGATTTTTATAATTATTAATAAGAACAATTTACCAATATTAGGATGTTTTAATTGTCGACAAATACGAGCTTCTCTATCGAGTTTTTGATGATCTACATATATAATTAAATTTCGAAAGTTTTATATTGTTTATATTATCCTCTCTAACCTCGGGTAGATAATTTTTTTGTATTAATAATTTTTGCAGCAAATTCTTGTGCGGAACTTTTTTGTATACATCGTCTTACAATTGAAAATGCACCTCTAAAAAATAAAATGAATATATATACATATATTTTTCTTAATAGCATAGAATTGATTATAATCCATTATTAATGAATTTTTTTGTTTCATACACGCTCTTCTTTCATTCGGAACAAGTTTTCTTTTTTTTTTTCTTCGATATTTTTCCTTGCCATAGGCTAAAACACCAACGCGTTCTTTTTGTTCTTGTTAACACTCCTCCATGGATGAACAGTTAGTCAACAACAGAAAAAAAGAAATGTGTATTCAAACAATTGATTGAAGCTGTTCTACCAAGCCTACTGCCGGCCTGATGATAATGACTTTTTTTCTTCTTCTTCTTCTTCATGATCTTGTCGTTGCCTCAATTATGATAATATACGTTTAGTCTTAGTCTTGAACGACAACATATAACAGTGATCTGTTTTTTTCATCGTAGTCAGTCACTAGTGTTAGTAGTAAAAGATGAGGTCAGAATACGAATGAGAAAGGGGAGGGAGAAATGAGAACGTCGACAACGACGACGATGAAGATGATGATGAAGAGAACGGGAGAAAAATAATATTCACGACATGCAAACGCGATTAATCAGGAGGGAGAGAGTAGCGGCATTCTATGAAGGTTCACCAGTGTAGCAACTACGGTGACAAAAGGGTTGATTGCAATTTAGGACTGGACTCGTGAGAGGAGACTGTCAATATTTTTTTTACATTTATTAACTTTATGAATTAAATAGATGGGGAATGGGATGTAAAAAAAGATACGAAAAAACAAAATTGAAAGATAATGCATATATATATATAATGACTTACTTGCCAAGTTCTTCTTTAAGATCATATTCATCAGTAAAACGAGTAGATGTGACAAGTGCATTTGATATTGGTATATTATTTGTAACAGAGGCCATATTGATAATAGGAGTAGTTGAAGGAGGCGACACCTTTATATTATTATCCTTCTTAGTAGTGCTGTTGTCGTTATTGTTTGTATTATTATTAATAGTATTGAGAAATTTGTTGAATAGAGTACTATTATATTTCATACAGTTAATACAATAAAACTTGATTTTGATCGGCTATATAAAATTGAATAAATAAATGGAGGTGGACGTTGGGTCATCATCATTGTAAAGTTAGAAATATATTAGATCAGCATGAGTATGTTAGTGATATAAGTTGCATAAACGCGACAAAACGAACAAGACTCTCGTTGTTTGTCGCAATAGTAAAAGCGGCAGCAGTAGCAGTTATAGAAGAAGCTTATTTCTGGTCGACGACACACGCAGTAGCAGACCCCGATGTCGATTCAGGTGGAGAGAAGACAGACCGAGCGAAGAAAAGACGAAGAAGAAGAAGAAGAAGAGAAGAAGAAGAAGAAGAGAAAGATGAAGAAGAAGAAGAAGAAAAAACAGCAGTTGTAGAAAAGTAGTAACAGCTAAAGAACGAGTAAGCAACTAAACGCAAGATGATTCCTAACCAGTCAGAGATAGGAAGGAAAAGAAAGAATGGAATGGCCGCTTGGGATACACACGAATGCACAGTCACGAGTTAAATAATCATTAAATAATATCATATTATAATTTGTTTGAAAAAGAAAAAACGAAAGTTAAATATTTAGCAGAATTGTTTCTTACCAGTAGAATAATACAGATGTTTTTAGTAGATTGTGTTTCAAATCCATAAAAAGAAGACTGAAATCTTTTCCATTGGTTTGTTGTTCTTTACCAATAGAAAACTTTCTCTCGAAAAAAAAAAAGAATTTATTTTTTTTCCCCTCCTATGTGTCAAAAATAAAATGATTGAAATTATTTGTAACAATTGTCGTAGTAAAAGAAAAAAACTTCTTATTAAATATAATTCAAATGATATAATTGATGGTCTCAAAAAAACCTAACTACTACCATCTAGACTGACTGACTGATACAAAAGCAGAAAAAAAAATTGTATTAAAAAAAAAGGGGTGTAAGTAGTTCTTTTGTATTCTCTAATAAAAATCCTTTGAGAATTCCTAATCATCTTTCTGTATATTCAGATCTTTTCATTAAAAATTCGTCACAACATATCGGAAACATTTATATTTCATAATAGATTATTTTAGATGACATTTTCAACGATAATATTACTCTTGCTGATTATAGTTTTGTAGTAGAATCAATTTTTATGCCATTAATCAATTTTATTTCTTCTTCTTCTTTTTTGTTCTTCAGAGAAATTCATCATAATAGAAATGATTATTGAACTTTATTATTAATAGAAAAAATTTCAAGATTTTTATTTTAATTAAAACTTTGTTTTTATATATACATAATAGATTTAATAACGTGACATAGGTTCACGTATGATATAACCATGACCATGAGTTGGATACATTGGTTGAGCTGCAGGAACGTAAATAATTCGATCACTGAAAAGGAAATAATGAATATTTTTTATTAAATAGAGAAAAAAAATGAGTTTCTTCTTTTTTTTTTTACCGAGGTGGACGGCTACAAGGTAGACAACAACAAAGTAAATTAAGTGGAATACAGCATAAACAAATATCTATTGAGTCGGAACATGGACAAATATCCGGCTAAAATATTGAATAAATTTAAAAGGTTATATTTATGAAACCTTGTTAATTAATAAGAATCCCAACAGATTTACTGATTAGTAATTATATTTTTAAATTTAGAATAAAGGAAACCATGTAAATTCAATCATAGTTAATACTGATTCTACGATTTCGAAGATGCCTCAAATGTTTTATCTATTTTTTTGTATGTTGACTAATATTAATATATTCTCCTCTTCGATATTTTTTTTTCAAAATTGTTACATTACGATTGTAATAGAAACAAGCTGAAACCTTAAAAAGATGAAATTAGTTGTTGAATTTTTATTTTAATCGAAAAATATTGAACAAAGATTATGAAGAATATGTTATTTTGTCATTTTTATTTACGTACAATACACATAATATGCACTCGTTCGTTATTGTTGCTTATTGATGTAGAAAAAAAACTAAAATAAATGATGAATAATACAAAAGCATTAGAAAAGAGCCAGCTTTCTATTTCGGCTCGTATATGCAATTTGTTTTTCTTTCTATTCATTATTTTCGTTAATATATCTGTGTTCTCTTTCTTATTACTTAATTATAGCTCTATTTAATATACAATAATATTCGATTCTTATTTTTGACATCAATTTCATTTATCTCATTCATAATAATAAGTATGTATTTTTCTTTCTATCAAGTCACAATCAGAGAACAAAAAAAACTGACACATTATATTATTATTTTAGACGTACATGAAAAAGAAAGAAAGAAAAATGTAGAGAAAAAGAAAAGTAGAATACAAAAAAAAGCATAAGAAGAAAAACCAGATTTTAAACGAAGTCAATGTTTATTTTCCTGAGTTTGATTTTAAAGTAACTAGATGGTTAATTTCCTTTTTTGTTTTATTGAATTGTAAGAGATAAGACAATAACAGCGAATATATATGATACACTGTTCGTAAAAAAACATTTGCGTACAGAAAGAAGGGAAAATAATATATTATTTAATACACAGAACAAAGTAAAAAATAAAGAAGTTTTACGTCGTTATCATTGTCAAGACAAATTTAAATAACATTTGTTTACATAAGTGAATAAGGACGGATCCGATCATCAAACAATTAATGCGAAAAGTAAATATAAATTCGTTTTTTTGACTAGTTAATCGAACATTCGAAATAAATACCATATGAATAAAATAACATTTATCAAGTAAACAAATTAAATCGTTCTAAATTGAGAAAAAAACAAATATTTATTGATTTGAAAATCTTTTTCAATATCCTATTTTATCTTGAAGAAGAAAATTGATAAAAATTATTTTTTTTCGTATAGTTATAGTTCGCCGAATGATGGAATAAATTATGTAAAATGTTTTCTCATGATCAGTTTTAAGTAATCTCATAGGAATTTTATAAATTCATAATTGACTAATGTCTCGGATTAAAATGAAATATTGAAGTTTATTTTATATTCAGAAAAATGTTATTTGAGAACTAAATTTCATATTTAGTTTAACTGTATAGGAAAGATCTAAATTTAGTTATCAAATTCAATACTAAAAGTATAAATATTGTAAATGATAGATATGAAATCTATCAAATAATTAAATCTAGTTTCTTTGAAAATTAAAAGTTACATACTTTTTGATCGAAAGGTATTTGATCCCGATGTCGATGATGTTAATGGTGCTGGTAATTTTAATGTTTGTGTAATATTTGCTGTTGTTAATTTACTTCCTAAACTTGATAAATCAGGTGGTGGTGGTAAAGGTTGTCCTGTTACTGAATTTTGATCATTTTTATTTGTTAATAACGAACGTGAATTTAAACTTGACAATGAACGATTATCATCCATATTTGATGATGATGATGAATGTGAAGGTGGTGGTAATGATGTCGGATGATCGAATAATGGTGATGCTGATGATAAATTACTTAACGTATTTGATGCTGATGATACAGGTGAATGATTTGATAAATTTGTTGTTTCAGTTACTGATGTTTGATGACGCATTGATTTTGATATAAAACTTGAAGGATTCACAGCATTTCTTAAAAGTCTTTAAGAAAACAAAACAATAATTTTTTATTCAAAAAAAAAAAATTTCATTTTACTTTAATGGAGATAATTCACTTTGTGGTTTAAGATCAATACTAATATCATTATCAGTTGATGTTGATGAATAATGTGAATGACGATCAGATTTTTTTTTATTTGATGATGATGATGATGATGTGTTTGATTGTATATGATTACTTGTTGAACTAGTTGATATACTAGTTGAAGATGATGATGATGATGAACCAAATAATGGTATTACTGAATGATGATCAATAGATGATTGTTTAATATCATTTTGATGTTCATTATTATTTGATGATAAATCGCCATTACTCGTCGAATGTACATTTTCTTCATGTAATATTGATGAACTATCTTCTTTACGTCCATTAACTAATCGATTATACGCATTTTTTGCTTCTTCACTTATATCACCTATATAAATATAATATGAAAAATTATTGATAAATAAATAAATAAGCAAACAAACCATTTTGTAAACGTTGTTCAAGTTCGCGTGTAAATCGACAAGTTTCTTCATTAGATTTTTTTAATGGAGATTTGAGTAATAAACGATTATGATCAAGTAATCGACTGTTCGAATCTAAATAACAAAACAAAATTGTTATTTTATATCATATTATTATTAATTACCTATCATGGTATCCGATGGAGATTGATTTATGTCGACTGATGTTGATAATTTAAGCTAAAAAGAATTTAAATACCATGATATTTTCTTTTCAATATCAATTAAATATCTGTAATGAACCATAAAGAATAAGTATCGATGCTGATATACCATATGGTAGTTTTAATGAACTCAATCATATTCTATTACTTAATCTCTATTTGTTTGTCAACGATAGGTGAATCCTAAGAAAAGTGTTTCTCTGAAGATCATTCACTTCATTCTGATTACGAATCCGTTAAAGTTATGTCATTTTTTTTGCATAATACTTCTCGACAACGGGAGCAATATTCCTACTCAATCACTATATAGATACTTGTATAAAATAAACGTATGAAAATATATATTGACCTTGGTTTATAACCAAATTAAATTTTATACCTCTTATAATAAAAAAAAATGAAAGTTCTTTTTTAGACAAATCAAATATTTCCCTATATAAAAAGAAATGTACTTCTCAATTAACCTTTTAAGTATTATGAGATTGTACTTATATATTATTTCCTTTCTCTAAGAATAAAATCTATACTTTAGATGATTAATATTTATAATTTACATTAATTGTTGGAGATTTTGGTGATGTTGATAGACTTCTTTCAGGTTTAAGTGCTA